ACTTCCTTGGATGTATTTCAGCAAAAGAATCTCTGGAAGCTATTCTTGACGGAGGCCTCCGAGAAACTGAAATATTGGCCCATGTGACTTCCTTTAGTCAACATAAAGGAATTTATAAAGCACAAATTTCAGAAATTTGCCCAGCTTCATTGTCTACAGAGCTGCTTTTATTCTGGCCACGTTTGCTTCAGCTTATCTGTGGCTCAATCTCATATTTGAGTCTAGTGCCTGTGAAACTTCAGCTTTATACTTGGAAAGGTGTGTATTTTGCTACAATAAGTTTCAGAGATTGAATCTGACAAGAAATGATTCTTCCTTTTCTTAACCGAGTTGCTTCAATGGGAATGATGTTTTTTGGGTGCTTTTCTATTTTGGCTTGGCGTCATTCTGGTGCCAAGGAGAAATATCACCTGCATTGTTCTTCCATTGTTCTTCCATTTTATGTAATCAGCTTTTGATTATTGGAAAGCAAATAGTTTCTCCAGCCTTTATGCAGGCATGTGTTTTTTTATTCATTTGAATATTTACTGAGCACCAGTGGGAATATTAAGAGGCCAGGCACAGCAGCAGTAAAGATGACTCTCGCTCCTGGCCTGAAAGGCGTTAATCCACTGGTGGATGTGGACATGTGAGCAGGAGAGCACAGTGCAGCTAGAACCAGCGGGGAGGGAAGGAAGAGCTCACGTTTCTGAGTGACTCCGGGATGAGGCTCTTGGCAGGGTTTCAGGGCCACGGAGATCCGAAGCCTTTATGGTTTAAGAGCGTGGGGCTCAAAGAGGTTCCTAACGCCCCAGCTCACTAATTGCTGATGGGACTGGAACTTTGCTTTCTCATCTCTAGCTTGATACTCATTGTACTATAGACTACCTCTCTTCTGTGGATTACTGTCTGCAGGAACACAGAAATGGCAGTGCTTCCTGGCCCTGCTGCCTACATTCCTTTCATATTCAGTTATGAAAGTGAATCAGAGAGCCCTGAATGTGTTACCGTTAGATCCTATAGCTGTGTGAATGATTTGTGCTGTTAAGGAAGCAGGAGGCCAAGGACTGTAGCATCATCATCTATCCCAGTATGCCGTATTCACATAGCTGCTTCTGCACTTCAGCTTCCCATGTCTCTGTTCCTCTTCTTGGTCTCCTAAAGAGCATAAGTACATAGACAGATAGCCTGGTATTTATCTTTGCTAAAGCACCTAGCATAATGCCTTACATATGAAAGATTCTCAGATTTTTTAAATAAATAAATATTATAGATATATATGTACATATATGTCAACTGTTTTCCATTACTTTTAGGTATGGTGTTGGAAACAGAGTGCATTGAAAACTTACCATGAGCCTCAAGACTGTTGTATGCAGAGTAATTAAGGATTAACAGTTTAGTACTCGAGATTATAACCCCATAAAAGAATTTCTCAGGTGGCCACATGCTGGGGCTTTTGATTGCCAAATTATAAACCATGGGAGGTTATGGTGGTTGTGGCAGCATTAAACAACAAAATGAGTTGTAATCAACCACAGCGTCAAGATTAAAGATATTGCCCTTGTTTCACGGAGTGTTGGGAGTCTCGTTATGCTTCTTTCTACAGGTGTTATTTTACTTACGTTCATGATAGTGCAAAGATATGTACAGAATAGAAGGTAAATGCTGTTTGCTGGTGTGGGAATGGGTTTGGCTGTAGAATAAAGGAATGAATTGGAATGCATTGCATGGAACCTTGCTTCCATGATCCCAAGGCCTCTAGTTCCGTAACCGTAAAAGTAAGACCCGTAATTTCCCACTGCCTCTTGTACTTCACAAATATCCAAGTCAAGTGTGTTTGGGAAGTTCTTTGTCCTTGTCCTCGTCCGTGTCAGTGACTCTCCCGGGCTTGTGAGTGGCCAGCTGTCCTTAGCCAACTTGACCCTGCGTACAGATCTGCTTCTTGGTGGTTGTCCTGGACGAAGAAGCCTCGGCCACAGGTGTGCTGGCAGGCTTTCCCCTGCAATCTTTCCCTAACTGCTGGTGATTGGCCATGTGGAGATGCTGCAGTGTGTCTCTCTGTCTTCTGCTGCTCTGCCCCATTTGGGATGGTGTGGGGAGGGTGGACGCTGGAGTCAGACCTGCTTGTTCCAGTCCCAGCTCCATGTCCTACTAGCTTGGGATCTTAGATAAGTCGCTTTTCCTCTTCTGTCCATCTATAAAATGGGTGATGCTTGGAGAAATGAAATGAGGTCAATTTGGAAATGTAATGGCACATGGTGATTGCTTCATAAATGTTAGTCAGCATCACTGTTATTATTCTTATTGGCTAGTGATCGTGTGTCACTATTTGATGGGTCATACTCATGAAACTATTTTACAAACCAAAAGTGGCAGGTCCGCACCTGTAGGCTGCCAGATATTACTACCTCTATCCTTCAGCAGTAGAGAGACAAAAGTCTTAAAATCAGAAAAGAAAAAGAAACCTTAGATTTATCTTCCCTTTCTGTTCCCTAGGTTTGTTTTACAGTTTACTGTTTTTCATAAATCAAGTATGATAACTGCAAGGAGAAAGTAGCTTCTTACTTTTGCAAATTACGTTATACAGTGTGCCTACTAAAAAAAAAAAAGATGAAAAGCTTGCAATCCTAGCCTCGGTCAATCTTCGACTCTCTAGTGGCAGAGTCTCTAGAAATCTGCCTCTCCCGTGACATGCAGAACCCTGGTCACAGCTTCCAACTGAAAGCTTGGAAAGTCAGTGGGTTACCCTAGCTGCTGAAAGCTGGGGAACGCGGCCTCTGACATGGCCCTCGCCCTCTGAGTGTGGACTCTGCAGTTCCCCAGCAGAAGAAGACCTTTGTTCATCTTGGGTAAGCATATGGTATTAAAGATGACCTCGTATGGAACATAGCAAAATGGAGTGGATTTCACTGGGGGTTACCAAAGGTTTTCTTTTAAGGTCCTAGATTATTATCCCATCTGGCAATAATCACCTTCCTCATTTGTTTAATCCAGAGAAGAACTGACTGGTTTCACCAGCACTGAGATGACCCACTCCACTGAAAACACCCCAAAATTCTCCTTCAGCTGGCTGTTTTTCACCAGCTGCTCCTAGCCTTCCATATTCAAGAGATATATGTGGTCCATTGACTTGTAAAAATGATTTTGCTCCTACAGTAAGCACTGGGCCAAGTTGGCAAAGAGGAGCACTCTCAGCTTTTTATATTGTGCATTAGAGGGTCATTTTTTCCTGCAGGCCAGCAGTGTTGTGCTGTTTTGTGACACACTGGTGTCTAGTACTCTTCTGAATCTTTGCTGAGTGTGCAACTTCAGTGGTTCAAGTTTCTTCCCCAAATCAGTGCCTGAATTCAGCGACACCCTCTCAAGCCACTGAAGTAAGAGCCCCGCCTGCTCCCATCACATGCCCTTGCACAGAGCATCCTAGTGCTCAGGTACTTCCAGGAGGTGTGAGTGACTCTGCCTTGGGACTACTGAGGTAACGCGATGCTGGTGTACTTTCTCTGGAAGCTCAGGGAACCCCTGTAGCGTTCCAGGGAGCTAAGTAGTCTAGCATCCCCCAGTACTTGCAGAACTGTTTTTCCTTTCCTCTTTGTTATGGGCTTTCTTCTTTGGTCCTCATCTCATTCACTGTGGCCTCTGAACTGTAGTGCTAACAAAGCAAACAACCTCCAGTGCCATCACCACCTCTGACCATTCCCACTGCTTCACTGCACTCCACTGTCCTTTTTGCTCTGCATTTCCTTTCCTCCTGTTCTGGCTCATTCCCTGGTCACTTCTGGCCTGAGCATTCAGCACGCACAGCACATTGGCTGTATACACCACCTTTGATTCTTCTCAGATATTTTCTCTCTCTATGCAGGCTCAGGGACTGCTTATTTGCAGCAGGAGACATTTTCTTTTATTTTTGCTCTTCCTTTTACTTCCAGATTTAATGCCCTTCTGGCCTTACGTGGTCTGAGCTCCATGTAAGTGACAGTAGGCTGATGACTGCTTATGTTCCACTCAGACGGGTCTAGACTACAGACCCATTGCAGTGGAGTGCTGCTGGCTTCATTCTGAAGTATTCTTTGGGATTCTCTTTGAACCGAAGTTTGGTGTAAAGATGGAGATTATAGACTCCCACATTCATTTTGTTCAATACCAGCCACCCTGAATAACATGATTTTGAGGATCAGTATCCTCCTTAAATAGCCCATCATATGGCAGACGGCTCAAGACCAAGAGAAATAGGCAAGTTTTCATTTGTGTGGGGTTTTCTTTTCCAAAATGAAAGATTCACTACATCTGAAAAATAAAACAAATACTGTAGTATATAAATATAACTCAGCATGTTAATTAACAATTTAATTAGTTCCATCCTCCCTCCTGGGTGAGCTTGAACCATGAAGCCACCTACATGTACACTGCACAGACATTCACCCGGAGGGTGTGCGTGTGCGAGAGTCACCGATGGAGCACGGACTGGAGTCCTGAAACCAAGGGTAAGAGTGTTTTTAAAGGGAAAAGGTGATTATTGCGTTTTTCTGGATTCTTTAGGCAATTTTCCTTTCTAGAGTAGATCATTTGGCTCTAGTATCCGTGAGATGGCACAATGTACTTTTTTTGTTCCTCGAAGAGGGACTTATTTTTACTCTTTGGTCATTAAAAGCACGTCACAATAAAATTTAACTCAAAATGCAGAATATAGTGAGATCAGGCATTTTATTTAAGGAGAAAATGTTAAATGATTGTTAATTTGCCTTGTGGTCAATAGCTGTCCAGATACTGCAGTAAGAAAGTTAGTCTTGACGAAGAGGAAAAGGTTGCAGTATTCAGCTAAGGGCCGGCTGTCTCAGGAGTCCTGTGTCTGATTCTTCCCCCTGTACTCCGAGTTTACACTAGGTGGCATGCAAGGAAAGCTGAACAAATGCACACACTTGATCCTGTGGAAACAATTCTTTGGCACTTGCTGTGATCAGTGGGCTCAGCTTTGGAGTCAGTGTTTGATTTGTGATTGTTTTCTTTCCCCTCACCCCCAGGATGAAGTGTCCTCTTGCTGGTACAAATAAAAGATTTCTAATTAACACAATTAAGAACACACTGCCCTCCCATAAAGAGCAAGACCAAGAACAAAAAGAGGGCAGTGAGGAACCTGCGAAAAGCCAGACCCAGAAGGAAGAAAACCGGAAGCAACGCAGGAGCCACCCTTACAAGCACGGCTTCCCGGCTCGCGGCGCGGCCAGCCGTTCTCCACCAAGGAAGCGGAGCAGCCAGGAGAAGTACGAAAAGCGGCCGAGCAAGCGGTGAGGCGGGCTGCAGACCCAGCACGACTGTTAGGAGCAGTGAGCTGTTCCACCTGGGATTGGGGGGGTGTGCAGAGAAAGGTACTGAGGACAGACCTTGAGCTGGCAGAGCAAACGCCTAAGAGGGATTTTGACAGTAGGCCCTTGTGGTTGCGACCAGCAGAAACAACCCAGAGGAAACCTTCAAGGAAGTGAGTCCAAAAAGACTCGCTCTGAAGACGTCTTGGCAAGTTTAAGCTACTTCAGCAGTGTAGTATACATATGTATTGTTTTTAGTTTATTTTGTTTGGAAGTTGGTTTCAAAATGAATCTAGAACTTAAAAGTTTTCAGAGTTTGTTAAAACTAGTTCCATTGTTTTTGATGTGCTGCAATTGTGGTCATTTCTCAAAATCTCTCAAAAAATGGAATACTTGTAAATCCTATACTTTACATTTTTGAGTGACAAATTTAAAATTTAGAAATCATCTGGTCAGTAGCCATATTTATGAAAAGTTATAGCCCTCCAAGGGCTAGAAATTGACCGAGAAACTCCTTGATAGCTCTGCATTTGTCTTCCTTTAAGTGAACAATGTAGGAAATTCTCAGAATGAATTTAGCACTCCATATCAATAACCAGAGGTTAAAGAATTGGCTCTGTTGTTTCCTTGTGCATTCTCAAACTCATTCCTAAGATAGAACAATTTTTCTATATTTACTGTTTTTGAATAAGTTTTAAGTGGTACTTTAAAAAGAACTCTCAAAGCTTAAAATTAATTATTTTAATGCTATGTCTTATTTAGCTGAAGACCACTCTTAGTATAGTTGTTTCAGAAATCTTAATTGTAAATGTAAAAATGTGTTTACAAGCCTTTTTTTTGTTTTTTCAGTATCGGTGTGAATCTGTTTTAACATACAATCACAAACCTTTCAAAGCTGTGTTCTTCCTTTCATGTTCAGGAGAATGTCACCAAGCACCCTCTTCCCAGGTCCACAAAAGGAAGAAGGATCTGCCTCTGTCCCCCCTCCCCAGTTTTCTGAAGTGTCTGAGCTTATGCCTGGCTGCTCCCAGATAATCGTTCTGCCGCAGCCTGCTCCCTGCTTCCTGGCAGCCAAGAAAAGCCCTTTCTAAAAGCTAGAAAGGAGGATAGCCAAAAAGTTAGCTTTGGGGTGTTTATAGAGAAACCAGAATAGACCTTGTATCATTCCCCAACTCCAAGCTACTCTGCCACACCCTCAGTCTGCTCTGAGCTGAAGGCTCGGGAGTCCCAAACCCAAAGCGTTCTCTCTTGACCCTCCCCTTCCCCCACCCAGGACCCCAGGACCTCAGCCTCTCACTTTGTAACAACATGCATTCCTTTCAAACACAGAAGGAATTTGGTTCACATGACTTTATCCAAATCTAGTTATGCATTAGCCTGTTTTATTTGTGCTATATTTGAAATGTTTTGTATTCAAATATTTATTAGAAATAGCATAAAGTTGTGGAGGTTTTTAAAAATTCTTGTTATAATTAAGTAAAATAAAGTTGAATTAAACCATTTGTCTATGCGCTACATATTTAGAGCAAATTGGCAATTCACTTTTTAAAAGGGGATGATTATCATGAGCATATTCTTACACTCAAAAGTAAAGGAAGCTCTTTAGCCTAATGATACTTGCCTTTCTTATATAATTGTGTTAAAGAATGAGTGTTCCACAGAATCATTTTCACTTTAAAAACCACAGTTCCACTTGTGAAAATTTTATTAGAATCTTTAAAACTTTTATCAAGAGCAGCCATGGTTTCCTCTTTATAAATGTCAAGAGCAAACTATCTGTTATTTCATATCTATACAGTAGATGTTAGGGAGGCATTGGTCCTAAGATACCATACACATGAGCTGCCTCCTACTTCTGTGGTTAACATACCACCCTGGCAGCTTTTTTCAGTGTTACTGTCTGCTCTCCAATGTAACTATATGTAGAGATCACAGAGCCCAGGATAGAAATTGGAAAAGCCGAATCAGTCCTGCCTCTGCTGTGGGCTCGCTGCGGGGCCTTACCTGGGTCGCTTTTCCGGACTGTATCTTCCTCATCTGCAAACTGAGATGTGTGAACTGAGTCTCTAACTTTGGAACAAGTAGAGACAGAAGTGCAAAATGTTTAGTCCTAAGTTCTAGGAGCTGTATTTCACGCTTCTGCTAGAACGCTAAGACTTAAACACAGCTGCGACTTAGTGGAATTCATTTTCTGTTTTACCTCATTTTAGCAAACATGTTCGCTAGGAAATGTAAACCAAGAGCTATAGTCCACCACATCTAGTCACGTGCCAGTGGCTGGTCCTTGAACAGCACACGCCTGCTGGGAGGGGGCCAGGGCAGGTAGCTTTACCCTGAGCAGGCTGAGCACGAAAGCATTTCCTCACGCCTGAGGCTGGAGGATGGCCATGGAGTTTTGAATTTCCCTGTGATTTTTTTGTCTTTTGAGGGGAAAGGGGCAGATCTGCCTCCAATCGTCTAGGTCAAATTGATCATTCTTTCATTGATTATTGATGTGACTTAGCACAGCACTTAAATTCTTATATTATAATTAATATCTGTCACTCCTAGAGGTCATGCCACTGTCTTTGGATCAAAAAGAGCATCTGGTGGGTAATCAGTGCCTGTTCAGCAGACATTGCATGAGGTGAATTCTGGATAAAGTGAAGCCTCTCCACTTTCCCGAGGAATATTAAACCCATAAAGAGCCTCTCCACGAGGCAGGCTATACTGACCCTGGGTGGACAATAACATTTATCATCCATCACCTATGGGCAAGTATTGTTAGCCCTTTTTCCCCCAGCTTTATTGAGATATATTTGACATATAACATTGTGTACATTTAAAGTGTACAATGTGATGATTTGGTAGAAGTATGTTGCAAAATGATTTCCACAATAAGGTAATACATCCGTCACCTCACAGTTAGCATTTCGTGTGTGTGTGTGGCGAGAACATGTATGATAGGCCTTTTCCCTGTGTCCATATAATCATCTCCCAGCCCTATGAAGAAGGTGCTATTGCTTTCATTTTACAAATAAGGAAACAGAATAGGTTTAATAAGTTTGTCCAAGGTCACAGAGCTAGGAAGTGGCAGAAATGCTATCTGATGGCAAGACTGTGAATCGAAGACCTATATTCTTTCCTCTACCCTATGCCATTAGCGAGATTTGAGTTAAGAAGGCTTAGAGTCAAGGCCTCTTTGCTGCTGTAAATAACATTCTATAATCCAAGGAAAGTATCTACCTCTACCTCTCAGAGGATTTGTATAAATAAGTCATTTTTATTTGGTTTACTATGCTGTAAGTCTCAGTGGAAGGCCCTGGGCATTATCATGAAAAGGCCAATAATAAACACAGATTTGGGAGCATCATCAATAGTTGATTAGATGAGTGATTTCTCCCATCTATCTAGCCTTGTAATGTTCACCTTTGGTTTTTATAGCTTGTACTTTCCCTATGTGAAACAAACTCCAGATATAATTCATCTATGAAATACCTAAGGTAGATATTTCCCCACCAGGTAAATGTATAACCTGCTCTTAATGGTGGTCTTCTGTCGTTCCTAAATTTTTTTTCCTCATTAATTAGCCAGGTGTAATTCCCTCAAGATGAACTAGTATATACTGTCCAATTTCAAGCCTCTATTTACCCCAAATTACAAACAAGTACATTTTCAAAAAACCAGGCGAGGCTGCGAAGAGCAGGCTCACTGGTGAGATGGCCAAGCCCATGTAGGTTTTAAAGTTGACCCTTGAACTCACCCTTTCAGCTTTCTAACTCACTCTCTGGAGCCCACAGGACCCAGGGACCAGAGGAGAGTGATCAAGCAGGCTCTTGATGACCCATTTTGCAGAGGGGAATGCTTAGGTGCTGAGGAATCCAGTATCTCACTCTCTAAGGCTGGCACCATGAGGTGGAGCATGTGCCCGGGATCTATACAATGAAAACTACAAGGCTTTGGTGAAAGAATTTGAAGACACAAACAAAAGATATCCATGTTAATGGATTGGAAGAATTAATTTTGTTAAAATGTCCATACTACTTGAAGCCATTTATAGATTCAAAGCAATCTCCACCAAAATACCAATGGCATTCTTCTCAGAACTAGAAAAAATAATCCTAAAATTTGTATGAAACCACAAAAGACCTTGAATAGCCAAAATAATCCTGAGGAAAAAAAACAAAGCCAGAGGTATCACACTTCCTGATTTCAAGCTATACTGCAAAGCTACAGTAATAAAAACAGTATGATACTGACACAAAAATAGACACATAGACCAATGGAACAGAATAGAGAGCCTAGAATTGAACCCCTGTTTATATGGTTAACTGATATTTGACAAGGGAGCCAAGAGCACCCAATGGGGAAAGGATAGTCTCTTCAACAAATGGTGATGGAAAAACTGGATAAACACATGCAGAGCAATGAAATTGAACCCCTATCTTACACCATTCACAAAAATTAGCTTGAATGGATCAGACTTAAACATAAGACATGACATTACAAAACTCCTAGGAGAAAATGTAGGGAAGAAGCTCGTTGACATTGGTCTTGGCAATGATTTTTTGGATATGACACCAAAAGCGCAAGCAACGGAAACAAAATCCAGCAAACGGGACTACATCGAACTTAAAAGCTTTTGCACAGCAAAAAAAAAAAAAAAAATTAACAAAATGAAAAGGCAGCCTACAGAATGCGAGAAAATTTTTGCAAACCATATATTGGATAAGGTTAATAGCCAAAATATATAAAGAACTTATGTAACTCAAAATCAATAAAACAATCCAACTAAAAAAATGGGCAGAAGAACTAAACAGATATTTGTCCAAAGAAGACATCCAAATGGCCAACATGAAAAGATGTTCAACATCACTAATCAACAGGGAAATGAAATCAAAACCACAACAAGATATCACCTCATACCTGTTAGAATGGCTATCATCAAGAAGACAAGAGATAAGTGCTGGCCAGAATGTGGAGAAAAGGGAACGCTTATACACTGTTGGTGAGAATATAAATTGGTTAAACCACTATGGAAAACAATATAGAGATTCCTCAAAAAATTAAAAATAAATCTACCATATGATATAGCAATTCAACTTCTGAGTATATATTAAAAGGAAACGAAAACAAGATTTTGAAGAGATATATGCACTCCCATGTTTATTGCAGCATTATTCACAATAGCCAAGATATATGCCCATCAATGGATGAATGGATGAAGAAGATGTGAGACATATGTATACATAGATATCTATATCTCTAATATATGAATATTATTCAGCCACGAGAAAGGAGGATATTCTGCCATTTACAACAACATGGATGGACCTTGAGCACATTATGCTAAGTGAGATAAGTTAGACAGAGAAAGACAAGTACTGTATGATATCACTTATATGTGGAATTATGAAAAGTGAACTGGTAAAAACAGAATAAAATGGTGGTTACCAGGGGATGAGGAGTAGGCAGACAGAACAGATGTTGTTTAAGGATACAAACTTAGAATGAGTCGTAAGTAAGCCCTATAGATCTAATGCACAGTGCAGTGAATATAGACAGCAATGTTATATTATAATCTTCAAACTTGCTAAGAGATTAAAAGGTAATTTTTCCAACTACTAAAAAGGATAATTATATAACATAATGGAAGTGCTAATTATCGCTACAATGACAATCATATTACAATATATAAATGTATCAGATTAATATGTTGTATACTAAATTTGCACAATGTTATATGTCAAATATATTTCAATTAAAAAAGAGAAATATATAAAAACAAAAAAACTGACAGCAATGGTTGCCTCTGGAGTGGGTAGGGGAGAATATAGTTTATACATTTATCTTCTTTTTGTACATTCTCTTGAAAAACAAAAAAGCGTATAACTTTTGTAACAAAAAACAACATGTAAAAAATAAACCAAGCCAGTATGTAAGGAGCAAATCCAGTGTCTCCTCCCACCCCTGCTTGGTTCTTTTCCTCGCATGTGCTCATAAGGGCTCAAGGTGGCAGCAGCTGCAGCAGGGACTCTGCATCCGCGGCCATGAAACATCTGCGGCCATGAAACCCTCTCCCTGGAGGACCCAGTGTGCACGGAAGGCCATGGCTGTGGGTCCTGAGACAGTGAGAGCATCAGCAAGGGTCACTGGTGGCGCTGACAGAGAAAAGAAAGAGGAGACAGAAGTAAAAGCAGACACATGCCTTCAGAAAACAGGAAAAATAGAGGCGAGCATGGCAAAAGAACAGCAACAGAAGTCAAGCAAGAGAAGGTTTAAAACAGCTTAAAAGAGCTAGGAGAAAAACAGGCAAAAGGGTGAATGGACATTTCACAAAATAAGTTACATGAATGGCTGATAATTATTTGATAAAGTGCTCAACATCATTAGTCATCAAGGACCTGCAAATTAAAATAAAAATGAGTTACTATATACCTACCAGAAGAGCTGAAATTAAAATGATTGACAACTCTAAATCTTGTTGAGGAGCTGGGGCAGGCAGAATTACCGTGTATTATTGGAGTGTAAAATT